TAAACAAATCTAATAATTAGTTAATAAAACAATTTGGTTGGGTAGATGGTAATCTTACGAAAAAAATTGGGGGGGGGGGGGTCAGTGAATAATAATAATAATAAAAGGGGTCCTTGGTGGTGAAAAGGTTGGAAACCATTGCTCTAATTTTAGAACAGTTGTGAAAAATAATATTCTGAACATTGTTGAAAAAAGCACATTACAAAAATCTTGATAAATGGAACATCACAAATGATTTAGTAAGTTAATGTATCTTTTCATACTAACCCTATGTGCATGTCACAACCTATTACAAATTGTCATACAACACAGTATCGTTTATTTGGTATCAAAATTATCAACTGTCCATTTTCTCCTACAATGCTAATTTAGCAAAAATTTGTGGTAAAGGAGAGAATACCAGAAACAATGTATGTGGATACAGAAAAAATATAGATATTTGTTTCAGAGGTTCTAGAGGTTATATCCAAAGGCAATATGTAAATTGTACAAAAGACAAAACTATTTTAATTATTTACATGGACATCACCTTGCACTCTGATTGGTCAGTCTTAGTCAGACTGTTGATGTCAATTCACACACGTATCTTGAGTACAAATACTTTTGTAACACATCTGATTTCTCTGTAACACAGACTTTTAGATTTTATTAAAAGCTTACCACATTTCATATATATACATATAGTAAATTTGGAATTTTAGTCGACTGTCCTTCTCTAATACAGGATGAGCTCAGTGTACAAACCCTATGTTTAATCAGTTTTGTACAAGCTTTGATGAAGCCACAATGGAGAAACATAGTTTGAAATAAAAAGTTTTATTTTCTAATTATCTGGAGAGTAAAGGTAACTATCTTATTAAGTGTTGCTCTCAGGCATGGAAACTTGGAAATGTATTGACCATTATGCAAGAGAAATACTTCTCCAGTGAGGGAAATTTTGAATATAGCTCAAATTACAGGTGTGTGTACACAAATATACATATGATCCAGGTTACATTTAGTTTGATTTTCTTATCAAGTGGAGTGAGTGACATTCATGTATCAAATGGCCTTTAATCACCTCGTTCATTCATATTTGATTCAAATCTCATTTATCTTGAATTGGTGATCTTAGTGTCTGTTTGGAGAATTAATGAATGAATTTAATAAATCATTGTCTTCCTGTCACCTTACTTGTTCCTTTGTTCTTAAAAATATCAGCTCTGAGGCTGATGCTTTACCATTTAAGCAAAAGGGGCCCAATCACGCAACATTCAAAACTGTTCGACCTTAGACTTGAACAGATAATACACACAAAGTGGCTCATTCATTGATTTACTGTAAAGTAAAAAAATTGAGTACTTGATTAAACATAATATTAATATGCAGCGGTTAGCTAATGTACCAGATCAAAAAAATACTGGAGGTGATTGACACAAGTTCCAACAATTTTAAGCATGCAACCTATCTAAAAAACAAATGTATAATAGCTAGAGTAGACTGTCACTAAAATGTAGTTTATATCTTACTTTAAAAGTTAACTTGCCTACTTCACATTATAACATGACGTGTGCTTTGTCCAACATTTACAACATATTTATTTGAAAACAATACACCATAACTGTGATGGTATTTATTTTACCAGTTGTGTATAAAAAATATAAACAAGAGAAGATTGCATTTCTTTATAAAAAAATTCTCAATTTTGAAAGTAGTAGTAGTTTTTTACTACTCATTTAAGGTTGTTATTTGTTTATTATTTTAGATAAATAGACATTGCTGTTTGGTTCACTCATTAAATAATGTTACCAAATTATATTTTTCTCTTCCAGTTTTTACTGGGTTCATTAGGACAGATTAAAAAAGCAAATCTTCAGATGATCTATTGGGTGTATGGAAAAACATTAACACTACATATCCACCATCTGATTTAATATAAAGAACATTTACAGACTTGACCTAGCACCATCTGTTGACAATTCTAGAAATATTTGCAATATGTAAACACACAGAAATGACTATTTTACCACACCCATCTTTTTACAATGACTATAAACCCAAAATAATTAAGATGAACATTTAAATATTGCATTAATTCTCTTGTAAAACACATTTTAAGGAAAAACTTATACAACTAGATAAGTTGTAGTGGACAATATTTTCAGAATGGTTAGCAGAAAATTTATTTTTAATAAAAAATCCAAAGTTCAAGCGAATAGTTAAGTTATGACTTTTTTCTTTAACCATAATCATACTTCTCTTATAAAACAAAAAGATGTCTTTGAACCAAAAAAAGAAAAGGCCACTGGATAAAAATTCAAATAGACCTTAAGTATATGTCTAACTCTATTCACTTTTTTTCTGCTGTGTATTAAATCAAATAATATGAAGGAAGCATTCACACAAATGCTATGTGCGAGTTACACTTAATTCTGAATTATCTTATTTAGTACGTAAATAAACTTGTATAAAGATTTACATAAGCTCATTTTGAATAAGAGCTGCTTCCCATTTAACACATTTTCTGTGTTAGCTACAAAACTGAAATTCTTAGATTATCCCTGTGGATGTCATGGGTCAACCACATCAAAATAAGCTTTAATATGTTATTGCATAAGTTTAGAAGATTAGGCTTTAAAATGGTTACACAGAAACTTGCTGGCAGTGTAGCATAACATTAAAGGACAACAAAGAACCCTTCAGCTCACCTATCCACTAAATTAAACACTAAAAAAAAAAAACTACAGACAGCCCTTATCGTTCCAATATTTATCAAACTTTCCCTAAACTCCCTTACATTAACTGCATGTACCATATTTGCAAGCAACCCATTCCAAAGGCCAACCACCCTGTTACAAAAATAAAACTGTCTTAGCTTGTGATGACTTCTACCTTGCCAAGATTTATATTAGTGTCCGTTAGTCATACCATTCTCATCATTAAATACAAAAAAAAGATAATGAACAGACACTATCAATTCCCATAACAATCTTAAACACCTGAATCAGATCACCTCTAAGTCTTTTTCAAGAGAAAAGAACTTCAGAGATCTTAACCAATCCTCATATGACAACCTTTCCATCACAGGTATCATCCTAGTAGCCCTCCTCTAAACCTTTTCCAATAACTCAGTGTTCTTTCAAATGTGAGATACCAAAGACTGAACACAATACTCCAAATGTAGCCTAACCAATGACATTATAATCTCTTTAGATTTGTATTTAATATTTCTGTAGACACCCTAAAATCCTATTTGCCCTTCCACTAGCAACAGCACATTGCTTGGATGGCTTAGGAGGCTGATGAACCCAAAAATTAAAATGTTTCTTTCATTAATGTTATTCTATTAAGGTTATTATTATCAAAAGACTAACACTATATTCCAACCTGCACATATGATTAAATAATACAAGGTATCACAGTAAGTAAACAGACAATTTAACAACAATACTCCATTCATATTCAATAAATCTACAAAATTAAGAAGAAGAAAAAAAAAAAAAGAGTCAAAAATGAATAGTGAAAGTATAATGTACAGAATATAATTTGCTGAAATAAATATTTGCACATCACTAAATGTTGTTTAATACAATCAACAAAGCAAATAGAGGATTACATGTTTAATTTACCTTAATAAGTGCAATGAAAAGTATGAAAAAAGATCCATGACTTTGTAACATTATTAAGCAAGTGAATAACTACAACTATGTAATTATTATTTAGCCTTTTGGATTTTTTCCTACTCATTTTTGAACTTTGCAAGCTCATTTTACTATAACATATCAAATCAACAATTTCCAAAATAAACACATAACTAAATGGAGTCACATGAGGAATAGTTAGTAATAAACAAGGCAGGTCAATAATATTTATGAAACATTTCACATCTTTGATAGTTCCATTTAACACAATGTATGTTACATTAAAAATTAGAAACAAATACTTTTACACTTCACAATAAGATCTTTGTTGATCATCACAACACAGGAATAGATACAGCTGTAAATTAGTTAAGGTATTGTGGTCAAAAGCATTCAACTCTCAATTTTTTTTCAAGAGTATGGTATTTTAACGGCCACAGTTTTGTTAGTACTATTGATTTATATTTACTCTGTATTTTTTTTTATATATAATATACATTTACTACTACTAGAGCTTTGAATTTTAAAATAACAAGGTAAAAAAATACTAAAATAACAAAGTACGTAAATATTTCCCTTTCAATTTTTAATTTAAAGGTTTTAATGATGCAAAAATATTAACACACGCAAAATATAACAAATAAATATGATTATAATTAATGTAAATCTGAACTATCGGTATTAACATGGTGCAGAGTCACACCTTAAGTTGAATTATAAACAATTCTATGCTAACCACACATTGTCATACTTAGTGAAGTATGTATGTATGTGTATGTATGTATGTATGTATGTATGTATATATATTTATATTATATATATATATATATTGTGTGTGTGTGTGTAACCACCTGGACACAAGACAAAGTCCTTTCGTTTGTAGACTTCAAAACCAGAATAACTAACTAATTGTTGAAACAACAATAATTATATCCTATTCAAACTTTTTCCGAATTTGTATATTAATATAGTAAATTTAGAAAAACAATAAAATAGTATATTTTATTCCTTGGATGATATACGGTCCTCATAACTTATAAAACTGAACATTCAACAGTTAAAACTAGCCGATTCATCCATCCTCACATTGGTAATAGTAATAGTAGAAGTAATTTCAATACCGCGCTGTAACTAGTTGTATGGCTTCAAAAGCCAATTGCTTACTTGTCCTATAAGTAAATATTAATTATTTTAAAAATACATGGGCAAAACAAAAGTTAAAAATACAACAAAACGTGTTTTCTTACTTTTACCTAAACTTCAAACATATTTATTATTCAACATATTAACTAGTATACCCGAAGGAACTAAGTGGTCATTCAACACCAAGCACATGAAATAATGAACACAAAAATCGGTAAACGGAAATGTATTACTCACTTCTGATAGAAATGTCTGTGCTGCTTTCTGTGCTCCTACATGTAGTAAATATTCATAAACGTAAAGGGCTAACCTGAAATAAACAGGAAATGTAACTCAGTAATTCAGTAGCCTGGATAAGCTATACAACACTATCCTCTCTCCCTAATAAAGAAATAGGACCTACCCGGCCACATGCCCTGGACTCAGAAAAAAAAATGTCAAAGTTTACATATACACTTAATGTTTCATTTTAAATATTATTAGTAAGTACAATTATATAAATGTTTTATTTTCTACCACTACGTTTCCCCGTACTTTAATAATTTGCAATTATATTGAACTTTCTTTACTCGTACAGTACGTTTCAGAAATATTGGTCAACACATGTATTACCTTTCAGCCTAATAATAAGGTGACCTATCTGTGAGTAAATATATAAAACCCATACTTACTTTTCTCGCGCTTGATTATCGGAAGGTACTGTCGAACCTTTTCCTTTCGCGTACATGCTTTAAGGTTGAACTGTCACACACCTGTCAAGACATTCACGATGATTTTCTCCTTGTTACCATAGAAACATTAGTTCATCTTTCAGAGACATGAATGTGATTGGGCTCACTGCTTTTCGTGCTCTGAGTTCACCCCAAATCACTTGCCTACGTCACGCATGAGTTTAATTGAGAAGACCTTATTGGTAGCACCGCACTGCGCGCCATAGGTGTAGTACCTCCCCAACACTTTTATTTATCGATGACAGCTATATTTCGTTTATAGGTTATTAACTGTATACCACCATAACCATAAGAAATACAACTTAAATACGATGTATTAGGAATATTGACATATTATTCCATTTTAAAAGCATATGTTTCTGAAATGGGGCATTGAATGGGGAGAGCAAACAACTTCTAGAAGAGCCGCTATACGTAAGAGCGTGAGGTGCAATTACCAGCTGCCTTGGTCCTGTACTTGACTTTAGAAAACTTTGGGGTTGTTAATTTGCTCGGTTTTATGATTGAAGTATCAAATCGTCAGTAACTTTTAACTTAAGTAATGCAGTCCCAACTTATTTGATTTATTTGTATGTTTTAATATGATAAACTTTTTCTATTATGCATGTGATAAATCATAAAAATTAATTACCATATAATCCTACAAAAGTACGTAGTATTGTTTAGATGCCTTTCCGTTAATATTTAATTTGTAAATATATGATGAATTTAGTCAACCATAACAAATTCTTTAAAACTTTTTTCATCAGTTAGAAGTACGGAATACGCAAGGGTTTCAAGGTGTCCACTTAGAAATGGATTCCTCTAATTTGTAACTTCCGTGTTGTGCTAATAAGGCTCTTCGGGTCATACGTGTGGAAAATTTTTACTTTGAAACAAGTAATCGTAATCGGTTTTTTGTATGTATTGAAGTTTGGTCAGAATTCGGAGCCATAAACGTACAGTGTCCGTTGATTACATAATTTTTGATTTTGATTCCCTATTCTTGAGCTAAATTATCTATCTATCTTTAGCACGCGCCACGCGTCCTCCGCGGAGCCGTATTGTTGTCTATCTGCTCCCACCACACAGGAGAGCGTCTGCTACGGGCTGTACCATTTCTTATAGGGTAGATATGTAACAAATGTTTTGAATTATTAAGCAAGTTCTTTAGGAAAATAACATTATTTTTGTATACATTCGACGCATTGGTAATCTGGTTGCTATTATATATGCAGCCTGTGAATTTTTCTTACCTTGGCTGGCATTTTATTCAAGAAACCGGAATTATTGTAATATCTCATAGGCTATATAGATTGTGGCACAAGATGAGTCCCCCTTCCAAATATCCTATTATATAAATCTAGCAACTAGTTAGATTCAGCTTTACTTGTGCAAGATTCTAACCATCAAAATTTTAAATACATAAGTTGTTAGCACCCATCCCACAAAGTCCACAATTAATCAGACATAAACGTTTTTAATTTAAAGTGTAAATTGGAAGCTACGTTACAGTAACAAGAAATGTACACAAATATATCTATCAACTTTAGTTCACGTCACAGATGCTACCTCAATGAAGATGTACAAAAAACAGTGTTAATCGTATATACTATAAGTTCTAAAGGTATACCAAATTGTTTATAACTGTTTTAGCGTAAAGCGAAATAATGGTCAAACTGCGCTCTGTCAACCACCATGAATCGAACTCGGAATTTTAGCGTTGTAAGTCCTTAAATTTACCACTGTCCCACTGGAAAATTATTTGTAACTAATATATACGTTTAACAAAAGTAAAATATCAGTTATTGCATATAATTATGCTAAAACTGTCTATCTAACGAGAGAGAGAGAGAGAGAAGAGAAAAAAACGGACGCATACCTTAGGAACTATAACAATTTTATTGATATGTTTCACATCATAGGTGTATTGTAGTTTTTGAGTTTTGGCTTGCCTTCCTCACCTTATGTGAGGATCCATCAAGTACAGTCAATTTTGTATCGACCTGATGATTGCTTTTGCTGCTTTTACTCCTCGATCGGCCACGTATTGATTACCTTCGCTTGCGCTTTAAACGAACTCCAGGAAAGAATACTGTGGAAACTCCTTGGTACACCGAAAGTCATTAAATTTGTTTATTGAAATACGTATGGGAGTACATGATTTTGCTGTAAAGTTTTAATAGGACGCGTTTTCGAAATTATAATTGTCTGTTTTCATTTGAAAAGGGTGGTATGTGACTATTAATATATGAATGTAGTATAATTACAGATATTAATATTATTAAGGTCTCCGTTAACTAAGAAGCCCCAGTATGCAATTTTAAACAGGGCAAATTTTGTAACTCTCGTCCATTGAATTTCAAACATTTTGAAGTGCCTCGACAGATGGCGCAAGCATAGTAAATGATAAAATCAAAAATAAAATAGCGAGCTATCCCATAGCAACCGTTTTTCTGTTATTTCCATTTTTATCAGGTACTTTAAATGCAAATATAGACTAATTTACATACATACACCAGTAAGCTCCACAAGGTGTTCACACAGAAGTCTTTTATTCTAATTTATTTTGTTCAGCTTATCGAAACGGTGAAAACGTTAGGTTTTTTACAGGTACATCGACGATCTTCGAAAGTATAGTCATGAGAAAACTTTTTTTAAATAAAAGATGAAAAAAGCTAAATTTGTATTAAGTAGTGAAGTTTCGTTGTAATGCAACAATTAAACTAAACAACAAATCGTTTAAACTGTATATGCGCGATGTTAACTTGCATATAGGAAACGAAGCACCTTATGCGCACGTGGGCTAAATGGCCTAGTATGAGAACTCTAAATTCAGGAATAGCCAGTTCTAAATTTAACCAATGGGCATGCCCGTTACAACTTACAATTGTTTCAATATTGGCATAATAAATCTATTTTACATCCACGTAGATGCAGAGATTAAAAACAAACAAAAAAAAAAGAATACTGAAAATTAATTAACTCGTGTTCGTTTGTTGGTTTGAAGTTAAGCAAAAAGCTACACAATGGGCTATTTGTCCTTTGCCCACCATGGGTATCAAAAACCGGTTTCTAACGTTGTAAGTCCGCAGACGTACCGTTGTGCCAATGGGGAGGGGACTTTGTTTATTAGTGCAAAGGAAACGGAAATTCGCTGCTCGGGCCGTAACTTCGCAAGTGATAATTTTTATAAATGTGCAGAGAACACTAGAAACTTTTTTGTCTATAATGTACATTGCTTCAAATCCTTCTTAGTTTTGATATATCGTTACCTATTTGAATATAAGTTTTCGTTTTGCTGTTTTTGTGAGGGGGGAGGGAAATAGTATGTGTTTTTTGTCATAAAATGTTCAGGTGACAACTAGAAACGACTTAATATCATCCCTGTTTTGCCTTGTTCTGTTGTACGTGGAGGGAGGGGTGCATGTATATATATATATATATATATATATTATAAAGAAGGCAACGGTTCCGTTCGGATCTGATCTTCAACGATAAGTCTGAGGGCTTATAATAACGCTAGAAATCAAGTTTCGATACCCGCGGGTGGGAAGAGCACAAATAGCCCATTGTGTAGCTTTGCGCTTAACAATAAACAAACAAACAAAACAAATTCGATCTATGTAATTTCTTTTATGGAGAAGTAACTTCGAAAAATACCTACAACTCATATTCGATGTAACTCAAAAATTTACGTACATCTTACGAATTTATTTTTGTTTCTTTTTTCCAGCCTTACATACGTTAAAAATGGCCTTGTTTTCTGCTATTTTATGCTATCAGAACATAATTCATAAATGATAATCATTTTCGTTTATTTATTATTTGATGCTGTAAAATTTTCTCATTAGACCTGAAAATAATATATTATATCAACGTTACTTTGCGTAGCATATATATTACATTGGAAGAACGTGTGTCGTAGAACAGATGGACAAGGTATCTTCGGTCACAATAACTAAGGTTCGGAAAGATGAAACTGGCATGCGAGTATTGATATATATAATAACCATGGAAACTGAAATCGTGAAAGTGCACAAATGAGCGACGTTGGTGGGTGTATCCGTGAAATATGAGATATGGAATAATATAGCAGGTGAAAACACTTTTACGGGCAGACACAAGTTAGACAAAAGTAAAAAAAAAAATTATTTTTCTGGTTTTTAGATCAATAAATTATTTACAGTTTGTCACCACAGTACAAGTAAGATAATTACAATACACTGATGGAAGGAAAGAGACCGCATTTTATTCCACTAAAAACTGACTACGCCAATTGTTTGTTTGTTTTAGTGAAAAGCTACACGATAGGTTATGTCCACTGTGGGAAATCGAATCCAGGATTTTAGTGTTGTAAGTCCACGAAGGTAAACTGATTGTAAACTACTTAAAGGTAGACTATAATAAACTAACGACTCAACCTGAAAACAAAGTAAAACATCACAGTGTTCAAATTGTTTGTTTGCTATTTTATGTTCTTCAGTAAGTCAGAGCTCATCATGTGGTACTGCGATAAAAAAAAAACAGCTACATGTTACTTTTGTAAACTTTTAAAGTTATTTTAACTTTGGTATGACTGCCTTGAGAGTATAGCATCTGAAATTTTCCCATATGCCTTTATTAAGCGCATTGAATCAATCTTAAGAAGAATAACATTTTGTCAGGTTTGATTTCTTGCCATTGATGATACATGGGTAACGTTTTGAATTAGTTCACATTTGCCCCCCCCCCCAGTGGCACAGCGGTATGTCTGCGGACTTACAACGCTAGAAATCGGGTTTCGATACCCGCGGTGGGCAGAGCACAGATAGCCCATTGTGTAGCTTTGTGCTTAACTTCAAACAAAGAAGTCCACATTTGTTTAATATCTGGGTTACCCTAAAATCTATTAACTGTATTACAATCACATTTAAGACAATAATGCTACTGTTGCAGTATGAAACTCAAAAACATAAAAGTATTTAAAAAGTGTATTGCATTATAAGGCTGTAACAGTTAAATAAATCCCCATCAAGAAGCACTCACATTCAGCATCATTAAGTTATGGGGAATGTAATTAATTTTGTTTGTTTATTTATTGTCGAGCTCAAGGCTACATAATGGGCTATCTGTGCTGTGCCCACCATGCGTATCGAAAAACAATTTTTAGCATTAAAAGCCTAT